GATTTCTCTTTTATTTATTTTATTTTTATTTATTTATTTATTTTTTAGATTTTTGCTATACAGCACATGTACTTGCCAAAGAGACAGAGAAACAAAGAGCAAGAAATCATCTCCCAGTGAGATGGCCATGCCACAACCCCTTCTCCTCCATTCTCCTCTTGGGATTTTGGGCATACATACACATATGCCTGGCATGAGTTTCAAGCCTCTGAGTCCAGTACTCAGACCATGGTTGGCCATGTGAAAGTCGGCAACATAACCATTACACTATCTGCTCTTCCCAGAATGAACTATTTCTAAAAACTTGAATATTGTGGCCGATGCATGAGCAAAAGTACACAAGGTCTTCAAAAAATTCATAGAAAATGAGTATTTTGGAAAAACTATTCATGAATTTCAAAACTTCTTGCACAAAAAGTTACTATTTTAATTCCATTTTTAAAAAGAATTATTTCATTATTGGTACCAGCAGTTAGTGTAATAGCTGTATCACTGGACTCCCACTTAGTCGACCATGGTTCAATACCGGACCCAGCAGCTTAAATTCACACCAGGCACATGTGCATGCATGCCCAAGACCCCAAGAGGAGAATGGAGAAGGGATTGCCGCGTGGCCACCCCCCCGGGGGTGATTTCTCGCTTTCTGTCTCTGTCTCTCTCTTTCTCTCTTGCCCACTCATGTGCCCTACAAAAACCTCTCCAAAAAAAAAAGAAAAAGAAAAAGAAAAAAAAAGAGAATTATTTCATTATTTATTTATTTTAATTTGACCAGAGAGGGACAGAGTGTGAGAGAAAGTGAGAGCGCAAGCAAACTGCCAGGTCCAGGACTCAAACCATGGTTGGTCATGTGGGAGACCAGTGTTCTTAACCACTACACCACCTGCCAGCCCCTTAATTCCATTTTTTCCATGAATTTATTTTTTGGAGAGGTTTTCACTATAGGGCGCGTGCGCTCACCAGACAGAGAGAGACAGAGAGACAGAAAGCGAGAAATCATCCCCCCACACCCCCCGCGAGGGGATGGTCACACCGCAATCCCTTCTCCTCCATTCTCCTCTCGGGATCTTGGGCACACACACACGCACCCAGCGTGAGTTTTAAGTCACCAGGTCCGGGACGCAAGCCGCTGTCGACTACGTCAGAGTCCAGCGACATAGCCATTACGCTAACTGCTGGTTCCCTCATCATGAATTTTTTTGAAGTGCCCTCACAGATCTCACTTGCCTATCTGGTATTGTTTCCCAATTTCTCTTTAGAAAAATATCCTCTCTCATTGTCTTAGTTAACTACCAATGTGTAACAAAGTACCCTAAAACTTAATGGCATAAAACAAGGAACATTTTTCTTCTCCCAATTTTATTTATTTTACTTTATTTATCTATTGAGAGTTTTTTTTTTTTTTTTTCTATAGGGAGCATGCGCTTGCCAGAGAGACAGAGCGACAGAAAGTGAGAAATCACCCCCCAGGGGGGATGGCCATGCTGCAATCCTGTCTCCTCCATTCTCCTCTTGGGATTTTGGGCACGCATGCACATGTGCCCGCCATGATTTTCAAGCCTAAGGTTGGGTGCATGAAGCATAGTTGACCTTATGGAGTTCAATGACGTAACCACTTCGCCACCGGCTGGCCCTTATCACAGGATTTTTTTTTTTTTTTTGGAGAGGTTTGTGCTATAGGGCGGGTGCGCTCGCCAGACAGACTGAGAGAGACAGAGAGATAGAAAGCGAGAAATCACCCCCCAGAGGGGATGGCCACGCCGCAATCCCTTCTCCATTCTCCTCTCGGGATCTTGGGCGGGCATGCCCACGCGTCCAGCGTGAGTTTAAGCCACCAGGTCCGGGACTCAAACCGCGGTCAACTACATGGAAGTCCAGCGACATAGCCATTATGCTAACTGCTGGTCCCCCTTCTTACAGTTTTTATGGGCCAGGCCAACAATTCATGAGTAACTGAACTACTACTATTTATTATTTTCACATGAATTGTGCAAGAGAAAGGCAAAGAGTAAGAGTGAGAAAGCAAGCCGCCAGGTCCGAGACTTGAACCACCGTCGACCATGTCGGAATTTCAGTGCCTTAACCATCATGTCACCTGCTGGTCCCAGTGTTTGTATTTTTTTTTTTTTTTTGAGAGATTTTCACTGTAGGGCGCGTGCGCTCGCCAGACAGACAGAGAGAGACATAGAGACAGAAAGCGAGAAATCACCCCCCAGAGGGGATGGTCACGCCGCAATCCCTTCTCCTCCATTCTCCTCTCGGGATCTTGGGCACGCACGCACACGCGCCCGGCGTGAGTTTTAAGCCACCGGGTCCGGGACACGAACCGCGGTCGACTACGTGGGAGTCCAGCGACATAGTCATTACGCTAACTGCTGGTTCCCCCAGTGTTTGTATTTTAAAACCAGTATAATCATCAGTGGTAAATTACAGGAAAGTAGGTTGAGAGACTATATTTACATGATTTTGAAAGTTTAAAGCTATCTCATCCTTGTTTGTTATGACATCTTTTTTTTCTTTTTTTTCTGGCTACAAGTTTATTCAACACAAAATAATCTCCTCCAACTTTACTGAGGTGACTGGCCAACGTCCACGACCAAATCTGCCTCTAAACTGGAACTCGGTGGCTGACCCGGCCCCAGCCTAGGCTTTCTTGTCTGCACCAGGGGTCACAGCACTCCATCTGTAGGTGTCTCTGTCAACTTCTCCTCTTGTGAGTGTTGCAGGTTGCTCGCCCTCCAGACCTTTGGGTCGGGGCCTGCTAGTCTCAGGACGGCTTCGGCGCAGGGTAGCAGGCATGATCTGTGTGTGTGTTGGGTGGGGGGCAGGTGGAGGTAATCGCACAGGTACTGGATACCCTCATTGGTAAGGTACCAGTAGAAATATCTCCAGGCAAACTGCTCCTTCACGTAGCCTCGAGACTTCAGAGACTACATGGCCTTCATGACGTGAAGGTTGGGCACATTCTTGTCAGCTAGCTCCGGGTGCTTGGGCATATGGACATCCTTTGTGGCTACCATCACTCCCTTCTTAAAAAGGAGTTCGTAAATGGCAATCCGGTTCTTCTTAGGCATCAACGTCGCGGCAGCTGCAGGGTCCAGGGCTGAGGCTGGAAAGATGACATCACTTCTAGTGACTCCAAAATAAACTAAGATATACCCTACCCTCTCACATATTTTGCACTCTGATATTTTAAGTTCTTTGAACAATATTTTCTAGTCTTTTTTGAATCTCTGCTCACCTATCATAGTTCTCGACATATTCTATTCACTCATTGTGTTTTCAGACGCTGTACCAGACACCAAGGATACTATTGTGAGCAAGAAATAGTTATTGTCCTTGTTTTTCTGGGGTTTATAGTTTATTGGAGAGGCACTAAAAATTCAATCACATTTCTGAATGTAAAATAACAAATTGAGTTATGTTTTCGGATGGAAAGGAATACAATCTTATAAGACTGCATTAAAAAAGGAAGAAGGCTTGGGTAGGCATGGGGAAAATAGACAGTTCACCTGAAGTTGGAATTTTGCCAAATAGATGTGAGAAAAAGAAGGGTCATGGAAGTTTAAAATATTGGCGAGAGTGATGTTAAAATCACATTCAGTATGTGCTCATAAATATTTGTTGAACTGAACTAAACTGAACTGTTTTTTGTTTTTGTTGTTTGTCCCCCCCACCCTTGTGTTCTCTTACATGTTGATGTCAGAGATGACCTGTTTTGGTATGAATAGACTAGTTTGACCGGACTAGTTGCAACTACTCCTCCGTGGATGAAGGGACTGTCCTGGCCCTATCCACCTTCTTTGTTTATTGTCTACTGTAAAATTCAGTCACATTTTGAAAAATAGAATATTTACACAGTACCCGTAACTTTTTTCCTCATAAACTTGAAAGCATCTTTTTTGTGACTTTTGGTCATTAATTCACATACATTTGCACTTTATTAGTATAGGTAAGTTTTTATATATTTAAACTCAAACATTCTGGCCATTGGATGAGATCAAATAGCATTTCTTTGGAGAATTTGACTGATTTTATTGGGGCAACAATTAATGATGGGGAGAAGAATAGCAAAAGGGACTATATGGCGAAAATGGGAGTCACAGGCCAGCAGGTGGTGTGGTGGTTAAGGTGCTGGACTCCCACATGGCCGGCTGTGGTTCAAGTTCTGGACCTTGCAGTTTCCTTCACTTTCCCTCTCTCTGGTCACATTAAAAAATGATAGTAACAAATTAAATTAAATCAAATAATTCTAAGAAAGGGAGTCATTACTACCTTTAATAGAATTAACCATGTAGAAGAACACTACTGAGTGCTCACTTTGTGCTAAATGGTGTCTTAACAGCCTTAACCACATTATCTCATTTAATGCTCATGACAACCCTATTAGATTACTATAGTTATTATGCTCATTTTACAGAGAAATTAGGAAACTTCCCCCAAATCATAGAAATCTGAAAGGCAGTTCCATCAGATTTCAAAGTTCCTGCTTCAGCCTATGTCAGTATTTTTATTTGTCTTGTGCCTCACATCTCCATACCTCCCTCCCTTCTAGTCTCATTGGCTTCCTTTCTGTTCTCAGTAGTGAGCAAGATCTTTTTCACCTTAGGTCCTCGCACCTGCTGTTTCCTCTGTTCAGAAGGTTCCTTGGTTTGTTGCATGGCTGGCTCCTTCTCATCTCAGATATCTGTTCTAAATTAGTTCTGCTCACTTTACTAATATTAGCATGTTTTATTTCCATTACAGTATTTATTACAATCCGAAATTGTTTTTTAAACTCTCACCAGATCATAAGCAGATCTATCCTTAGTACCCTCATTCACTGACTTACTAAATGAGTGAATGAAATGGTCTACCTCTTCTGTATCTGGAGGTTCAGGAGAGTACTGCGTTACCCCAAGGCCACCTGTGTTATTGACAGCCCATACGGAAGTGCTTTGAGGTATTACACATTCCTTACTTCGCTCCGATGTCAGTTTATTACCGAGACTTTTTGGTTCCAGGGTAGTTGTGACTTAATACAGAGACCTCTCAGGAAACGACAGCCGCGCCTTGTTTTACCCAATTCTGCCTGCAGGGGACGCTGTGGACGGAGGCCTCCTGCGCAAACATAGAGGTGGGAGTGAGTAGTGG